TGATGAATACATATAATTATCCTTATTTCTTTTTATGTATTAAGTAGTCATTATTTTTAATATGTAATCCCTTGATCTCGACCTAATGCAACTTAAAATATAAAATAACTATTTTCCCGATATCAAATTTAATTAATTTTATCATTTCCGATAGGCATAAAAATAAAATAATGGCTTATATTAAATAAATTTAAATCTTAATCAAAAAATATTCGACCATTCAATTATGAAATGCTGTTTGGAACCATTTAAATATATTTCTCGAAATTTTTGTCATGAAAGTAAGTATATTATAAATATTCCTCAAATATTAATACAAATTTTGTTTATTATAATAAATTTGAGATGTTATAAATTTTCTTTAAGATCTGATTAAATTATATAATATAAGTAGGGACCTGAACCTTGGGATTTCAGGTTCTGCTGAATATTCTGGTTCTAAAAAGTGGCTAAATTTATCATAATTTTTAAAATTTAAATTTGATTAATTGAAATAATAAAAGTATACATCCAGATATATATATATATACATTGAACAATATCCATTTAAAAAGTATAATATAATTATATATAATAGTTATTTTAATTATAAATACTTTCACTGATTTAAATCAGCCCATTTTTTTTTAAATCGAATGATTATCAAAATATATTAGTAATTAATATTTTTAAAAGTTACCTAATTGACTTAGATCTTATTTTTTATTTCTACTTTTGACTTACTAAAAATTGCATGAGGAAATATTTTTAATATTATTCTTAATTAAAAATGACCAATCTACACTAAAAAAATTATTTAGATAATCTGTAAAATGCAATGTTGTTTCCTAAACATTCAGGCGCGTACGCAGGAATTTGGTCTGGGGGGGGGGGGGGATAATAAAATTTTTTAAGAAATATTATTGTTTTTTAAAAATATCAAGCATAAATTTATTAGGACTAATAACTATTTCTAATAAACAATTTTAAATTAATGTGAATTATAAAAAAATTATATGTAAAGAATCATTTAAATGACCAAAAATAAAAATTTGAATTTTTTGAGCCTTTAAACAAAAAGTTTCTTAGGTATAATTGTATTTTGTATGTTATATATTTACAATGTAAAATCCAATCTTCGTTAGGATTGAGTTATGGGCCGGACCTTATTTTAATTTTTTTTTAAATATGCCCGGGCCGTGTCCGTAATCTTTTTTAAAAAAAACCCGAGCCGGGCCTGAATTTTTTTTAAAAAACACCTAAACGGGGCCTTTAAAAAAATACCCAGACCGAGCTGTATTTTTTAGAACAGCCTCTATTTGAAATCGTTACTATTAGTTATAAAAATCACAAATAAATATAATTTATTTTTAAAAAATCCGGGCCGGGCCTGAAAATTTTATTTTAAAAATAGCCGGGCGTAGCCTGAAAATTTTTTTAAAAAAAGCCGAGCCGGGCCTAAATGTTTTTTAAAAAAAAGCCAGGCTGGGCCTGAAAATATTTTTAAAAAAACCCGGACCGGGCCTTAAAAAATCTTTAAAAAAAATCCGGGCTATGCCCTGCAACTGGTACTTCTGCAGGGCTCTGTTATTCTTAAAAAAGAGAATGTTCACTCATTAGTTTACCAATGTGAAGAGTTGCTAATATATAAAAACCCTTTTAATACATTGGGAATTTAATCTAAAATGTTTAAAATAATGCAGAGCATATAGCATTTTTTGGGACTATATCAACCATAGTTAATCTTATAAACATAGTTATTCAGCGTAAGGCATCATAAGATTTTAACATCTTCATGATAAAAATCTAACAAATATTTTTTTTTCTAGCACCATCTGAAAAAGGTTGGGAAGGCTTTTGTGGAAGTAATATTTGCAGATTGGTAAGTGCTGCATGACGAATTAAAAATTCATTTATTTGGGTTATAAATGTATCAGTATCTAAGATATACCATTCTACTGATTCTATATTAATGTTTTAACGATGAGCTTGCCTTGCTACAAGTCGAGGGAGACAAATATTAAACACGTATAGCTCTGCTTTTGACTCAACAATAAAATATGTAATTCTTCATCAACATTAGCCCTAATTTCCTTGAGTTCTGATAAAATGCTCTCCGCTATTATCATCTTCTTAATCAAGTCAATGTCATGTTTTTGAAAAGTAATACTTAAAATAGTTGTATATAAATAATACATTCTAAATGAGAAATAAATTTGGAATAAGCATTGAATCCAATAATTTTCTTGCTTCTGAGGAATATTTCTTTCAGGCCATTGTGATATTTCAGTAATAGCAAATAATTGGCTCTTCTAACTCCTTAAAAGCTGTTACTGATTGATGGCGGATACTCTATCTCGTTGAACAAGGTTGCAATTTCTTTCTCCCTGTTGGACAAGAAGTTTCAGAAATAATTATTATTTGACTAGAAATTTGAAAATGGTAGATAAATATTATGCCACTAAAAATTTGAAAATAATAAGTAAATATTACGCCGGAAAACTTGAAATCGAAATTAATTGATAGAATAACTTATGAATGTGATAATAAATGTAATTAAATCAGGGTTGGCAAGTCTGTCAATTGACCAGTCAAATTCAGTCAATTGACCGGAGGAGTATTTGACCTGTCAAATACGGTCAAATACTCTAAAAAAATGAAAGGAAAAATATTTTAAAAATATGTTTAAAAAAGGAAAAAAAGATGTAAATACATGTGATTACAATGTTTGCTTATTTTTCGGGTCCACAATATCAAGAGGAGAACTCACTAGTAGTGAAATTAATGAAGTATGTGATATAATTCAAAAATTAGCTATTTTACAAGGTAGTGATGACGAAAATATTTTAAGTGATATAATTAATTTCAGAAGCAAAAACAGCATATATAATATAGCAAATTATGTGGAAAGTAGTAATTTCGAAACAATCAATTCCGACCTCAAGTTAATAGATTAAACTTTGTCTACCATGCCCATTAAGAGACTAACAATTCCTAGTTCTACTTCTTCTTTAGAAAGAAATAGGTCGATTTGGGTTAATATTCTTATATAAATAGAAATCGATTTAAGATCTAAGATATCAGGAAAATTGATTAAAAAATATTAAAGAAAATGATAATATTGAATATGAATCAGAACAAGACTGATACAGATAGCTACACGTTAGTTATTGAATGACAATGAATTTAAAAAATTAATATTATAGATTCATTTTACTATTATATTCAAAATAAAGTTATTATTAACTTTAAAATATATTTGAATTTGAACATATTTGACCGGTCAAATATCGGGCAATTGACCGAAACGTATTTGACCGGTCAAATGCACAACCCTGAATTAAATATATATTTAATATGAGATAGGAATAAATATTAACAAATATAAATTAATATAAACAATAATATTTTAGAAAAATATATCCGGCATCTGCATTTTTTGGCTTGGGGGGGGGGGGGGTGTCTCCCTGCACCCCCCCCCCCCCGCTGGTACACTCCTTGTAAACATTAAAATAATAATATATTAAACAATAAATGTTTATTATTGTTTGGAATTTGAATTATTGTAATAGTAAAACTCTTTTTCCTATTTCGCTTCCCAGCCGATTCCTAAGATTGGAATGAATGAACCACTTTAAATAAAGAAAATCTACCTTACGTTTTTCAATAAATAAAATCTTTCCTTTAATTTTACCAAAATTGATAAAATATTTACGTTCAGTCAGATTTGTCATATTTCATTGTTTGTCTCGTGTTCGTTATTTGAGATAGTTTAAAATTTAAAGTTGATATTGCTGAAATTGGTTTAAATAAATTAGATTTTTTATAAATGGCCTTAATTTATAAATGAACAAATATTCTCTTACCCACTTTATATTGCGCAGTTATATCATACTCAAAAAAAATAATTATAATTTTTAAATCTATGATATTATTCTTTTATTTTTGAGGCAATATCCTGTAAGCCTACTCAAAAACTTTCCAAAGCCTGGCTTAGATTTAGGTTCGAGTCAACGGGCCAGACTCGGGTTTGAAAAATATAAAAATAATATATGAACTCGTATTTTTATCAAAATAAAGGGATAAAATTAGAATTTCTATATGATAATAAGAACAAAGTTTGGTGATTTTTACTTCATTTTCATGAAAATGCTTTTATTTTATATTTTTAATTTAAAATTTCGGGCCCAATAAAATTGAATTTGCCGAGTTCTACTTAACGGTTCCGATTAGAAGTCTGAAATGGGCGGGTTTTAGCCAAAGCCCGTCCACTCGTTGCTTTATAATTTTTTAAATCCGCCTGCTCGCCCATCTATGGCTTTTTTAATTTACCCTCCCACCCGTTTATCTTATATTTTGTTTAGCCCGCCCGCATACTCACTGTTTAAAAAATATCAAAGACCTGCAGCCGGGATTTTTTTAAAAATAATTTTTCGACCTGGCCTGGTTTTTTCTTTAAAAATTTTTTTTAGGCCCGGCCCGAGTTTTATATTTTCAAGCCCGGTCCGGCCCGGATTTTTTAAAAATATATTATATAAACTTATAAAATAAAAAAATATTTTTAATGAATAAAAGTGTGTTCTGCTCATTTTTCCCGAAAAATAATTAAAATTCACCCATCCACACCCATTGTTTTTAAAATATTTTTTAACTCGCTCGCTATCCACCCAACGCTTAAAATATTCTAGAAATCTCTCACATGCCAGCTCAGGGAATGGACGGGCGGGCTGAAAATCTACCCATTGCAGACCACTGCTTTCTATCACTTAATGTAAATAAGAAAAAAATAGCATAGTACAATTATTTAAGGATTTACATTTAATATTTTATGAAATCATATATGTTAAGTTAATCATTAAAATTGTTTATATTAAATTAAAATGTCATATATTTTCGGCACCATATTTGAGAAATAGTTCAATGCGGAAGGGTGGGGGTGCTTAAGTTGAGTTAATGTCAAAGTCTTGAAATTAAAATTTGATCAAAATTTCTTATAATCCAAATCTACATTTTTATAAAAGCGCTTTACCAAGAAGAAAACAATTGCAATGAAACGAAAGAAGAGATTGTAACAGGTAAAAAATATTAATATTTATTATTATATTCTGCCCCAAGGCTAGGGGCCTTCGCCTAATATCTAAAAAGTCAAAGTTTATAAAAAAACTGGAGAGCGAAAAGGTTTAAAGTTCAAGACTTAGCATTCATTTTGATAGCTGTGAGACAGATGCTTTTAGAATCAAAGTTTCGAACCGAACCGAGCCGGCAAACCGGAATGAACCATTATTAATTTCTGAACCGTAACCTAACCCTTATAAAGAAAATATAAAAAGAGCGTACCGAACTGTTATAGATATTTTAAACCGGTTCTAAACGGTATTAAAAATAATTAATTTTAAATTATTAACCTAAATTTGAAATTTTAATTTTCCTTAGGGACAATTTTTAAATTCGTGATTTCTTTCAAATTATATTTTTTATACTTTAAATACTCAATTTAATAGAAATTAGGCACATTACCAGTTAATTAGATAAGATACAATCTAAAAAGAGATTACCAAAAAACATGATTTTAAAACTTGGAACTTAATACAAAATTTAAATAATCAGAATATTGAAATTCTAGATACTATGTCTACGTGTTCACAGTCGAAATATAATTTAGATGATGATTTTGAAGATTTATTAAAATCGCATAAGCCTTAATAAAAATAATTCTCAAGGCATAGAAAATTATAATAAATGTATAGAATTAGAATATATAATTCGGTCATCTAATAATATAGAGAGATTAGAAAAAGATACTAATCTTTTGAATTATTCGGATAATGTAAAGAATAGTATGCCAGAACTTTAGAAGTTAGCTATAATGTGCTAACAGTTCCAGCTACGCAGATATCCGTAGAAAGAGCATTTTTTTAGCCTTAAGTAAATAGTATCTGCGCAGAGAACTAAATTAAATCCTGAAATATTAGAAAATATTTGAGTTATCCGTTCTAATTCTCTTTTTAAACATAAATAGTATAAATTTCATTATATATTTATGCGTTATTTTATTCCATATTGTATGCATGTTTGTTTTTATCTTATTTATTTATGAAATAAAAAAAATTATAATGTATATTTACTAAGTTTAATAAAAAATATCTATTAGATTTCATGGTTAAATTAAATAAGAAATTATAAAAATATAAATTAAAAAGATTTTTATCTAAGATTAATATATATGGTTTATGATTAATTTTTTTTTAAATCAAATTAATACCCCCGGAATAAACCGAAAAGAACCGTTATATATCGGACCGAATCGATATGAATCTTTTCAAAAAAATCGAAATGGAACAAGACCTTTACAAAATTTTAAACTAAAAAACGAACCAAACCGCTATACTTAACGGTTCGAAACCCTGTTTAGAATAAAAGTTTAAAAGATAAAAAGACTCATTTCATCTCACTAAAGGCAGAAAGTTCATTTTTTTAAAAAATATTCTTAATCCTGATCATAAATGGCAAATCTAAATATAGATTAACTCATCTTGACATAAATATTATTTTATATCATTTTAGTTTTCCCTACCAAATTTTCTTCTAATATAATACAAGTTTTACAGTTGTTAAAAAGCTTAATAAAATAAAACTTCATTATAATATAGTTTTATACAAATGATTTCCTTCCGTTATTTTTTCCATTAATTAAAAAAATATATATGTATATTGATTGAAAAACATCATTTAACTGGTTAAACACCATTTTGAAAAATAAATAAAAGTCCTTTTTTAAATATCATTTTTCGTATATTTAAAATTAAAAAAGTGATTATTTACAATTAACGAGTTATTAAGCATTTTATTTTATATAGGATTTTGAAAGACAACAGACTATGTTTGGACCTACATAAACCCAAAATTAAATAGGTCGGGCCTAGATACCTTATAATGACCGCCTTTGGGGAAGTTGTTTAAGAAAATTTAATTGTATTAATTAGGAATGACGGGAGATTAAGTGTTTATAGGGGCTAATTGATAATTCTCTCTCCTATCTATTGTTTTGTCTAATTTCTCCAAATACCTATAGTTATTAGACTGCAGAATCGAGCCCACTGTAATTTCATCAGTGGGGAATTTCTTTTTTTTTCTTGCCCGATTGAATATCTCAATTATAAAAACCTAATTTTAAAAGATCAGGCAATTGGAAATTTTCATATCATATTTAGTAATAAATAGATAAAATTATCAATGCTTTTGTTAAATGTTTAAATTTATTGCGTAAAACATTATAAAGTATAGAAGAAAATAAATATTTTGAGTTTGAGATTTCTTAATGTCACTGGGTCGCGGGCAGGCTCGGGCCGAAAAAATTGATTTATCAGGTCTCTAATAAAAATAATTATTTTGTATTCTACATTTTTTGTCTAGCAAAGAATTTACACATTAAAATTTATAAAATTTTGCATAGATAGAATCCTTAGAGTTTACGTTCACAAAAAAAAAATCAGAATTTATTATATAAAATTATTAACTTAATATAGTATTGTTAAAAAGGCCAATTTTGGGTCGATTTTTAAAAAGATTTTAGCCAAAATAATATTGTGAAGCCTCGGGATTTGGCAAATAGATGTCCAAACCTCTACCATCTATGAACAAAATTACCAGCCTTACATAATATTATTTTCATTATAACCTTAATCGGGTTGTTTTTTAGAATTGACTCAAATCGGTTTTTTTGAACTTAAGATTACAAATGACTATTATTCCTTTGTGCTGGTGATGACTGGTCAAGAAATGACTTTCTTAAAAATATCAAACTTTATTTTATTGATAATGCTTGGGGCTACATATTTATATTATATATTACCTTTCATGGTCTCCCTCCTAAACAGTTACATTCATTTGTTTCTCATATTTTCAATTTCCATTAAACAATTTACAAAATACACATTTTTTTAAATCACCTGACTTAAATCTGTAGGGTGCCAAAAAATAGGCACCTCTAACAGTCAAGACCGAAAGGACCAAAATACTTTCAAAACTAAGATTTGGGCAAAGTGTAAAATGCTTTTCGCTGATAATAAGTAATAAAAATCCGTTCTGAACTAAAAAAAATTTTTCAAATTATGCAGTTTCTTTTCTCACATCAGTAAAAGGCTCAAATTAAACAGGTTTAGTCTTTAAAAGAAATATTTAATATATCATGGATGGTCATAAATTTAACTTGACGAAAATGTATTTCTAGTTTTTTAATTTATAATATTTTTTATTTTATTTAGTTCGCGCTAAAAATATATCGATTTTTTAAAATAAATAAATAAATTCTAACATCTAAAAAAGAAGCGCTTAAGATACTGGCCTATAGCTAGGCATAAGAAAGGGGGGAGGCGGTGGATTATTTTTCCACCCGCCAAAAAAATTTATTAAACATTAATAATCAATTTAATCATTTCCCACTAATTTAATAATTTTTCTTGTAGAATATGTTTATTTTACTCGCCAACACCTATTTACAAAAAATTAATTAAATTAGGAAAAAGTAATTTTAAATTATTTTAGATTATTAGGATTAAATATGTAACAAAAGCTCATTGAGTTGAGCTGTTTATTATATAGACACGAAATATTATTTTTTTATTTGTCGAAGATTTAGCGCATTGCATATATTTATTATATATCGAATCTGTTTTCGCTAATTAATTGTTTAAGATTTTTTTCGGAAATTATGGCCAGGCAGAAAAATATTTTATTGTAAATATATTATTCTGCAAGTTGGGATAGGAGATTTCTATCGTAGGAAAACCCCAGGATTAGAAGTAATTGGTTACCATTATAATATGAAAATAGTGGCAGGTTGGAATTGGGTAGGGGAATGGTTAAGCGGTAATATGAATACTTATATTCAATATACTTGTTTTAATATCTGATAATATTTATTTGAATAAGAGTGTATTTAGTATATTTGTATTTTAAATACTGAAAATTAAAAATATCTTGTATTTATTACGATTTAATACAAATATTTTTTTCATTTTTTTAAAAATTATATTAAAAATTGAATTATAAATGTAAATCCATAGTTTGTTTATTTAAATATGAATCCTGTAATCAAAATTAGAGATAAAAAATCAAATTCTTATCCGTTTCATTCTAATTTCATTAAAGTGAGCGATATTAAGATATTTTTATCAGTATCTGAAATATTCGAGGGAATATTCTTCAATATATCTTCCAAAATCAATAATAAAGTAAAATCAAAATCCACTGTGCTCAACTACCGAGTTGGGTAGGTCCTTAAAAAAAGGATTTAGATAATGATACAGAATTTTTGTAAAAAAGGGATCTTAGATACAGATAATAGTGTCTTATTAAAAAAAATTTGAAGATGTACAAGATTGCTAAATGATAGTATTTTAAATACAAGATACTTTTTATAAAATGATCATTACTTATTAAATTTAAAATAACATTTTATTTAATATTTTTGTGAGGAACATACTATATATATATATCAGAGATCTGCAGGGCCGGTCCTAAGCCAGGCCAAGCCGTATTTTAATTTTTTAAAATATACACTGTTTAAAATCAAATATTTGAAATCGCCATTATAATCTATAAAAATCAAAAATAAATATATTATATTTTAAAAAAATCCGGACCGGGCTTGAAATTTTTTTTAAAAAAAAAGTCGGGCCGGGCCTTAATATAAAACCCGGGCCGGGCTATAAAAAAATTTTGAAAAAAAATCCGGGCCGGGCCGTGCATATGGTACCTCTGCAGGTCTCTGATATATATATATAGAGAAAAGATCCATTCATTTAATTTAAAATTTATATATATGAATATTAAAAAGCACGTTTGTATAATAAAAATGAAAATTTATAATTAATTATATATTTAACTTATCACGATTAATGTTGTAGATTACAAATCTATCATTTTAATTATATGGAACTGAAATTTTAATTTGCATAAAGAGTATTTTAAATTATAATCATGTATTTTACTAATTCAAATTATTATATTTTAAATAATCAATTTTTCAAATAATTTATTTATTCGTTTCGAAGTATTTAACATTGTGCCGAAA